GGCCATGCTGAGGCCGTGTCCCACATACAGCAACTAGAAGGATGTGCAGCTATGACATACAACTATCTACTGGGGCTTTGGAGGGAAAATAAATAAATAAATAAATAAAATTAACAGGATAAGCATTATAAACAATGCCAGGATCAAACTTCAAAATATATACACCAAAGAGTAATAATTTATTTTCTTTATATGAATTAGCTATTTCTCTTCAAAACATGCTCTGGATAAATAAGACAGTTAACTGATGAAGGACAGATCCAATTCTAGAGGCTGAGAAATGTGTCCGAGCTCCAGGTTTTGAGGGTCCAATATTGGTAGTGGGGTGGATGGTCCCTGGGGAGACTGCTTGGGGCTCAAGTAGAAGCAGCTAAAAGGGACCTGATATGCATATGTGCATGAGCCTTAATGGTCTTCCCACCACCCCAAGAAACAGATTAGAGATGACCCTGGTCTACTTTCCACCTAAGCCCTCACCCTGCACATTGATCTTCTGTGTTTTCTGTATATGGCCGTTTCAGAAATGCCTTTGGTGCTTATTTAATTTAAAATCAATTGTATAAAAATAAAATATTTGTGGCAGATCCAACATAATGTGATTAATCCCAGACACAGTTTTGGAGATATCGCTTGGAGAAGAATTTTTTTTTTTTAAAGGAGTAGGGAGGTTTTATACTTTTTCTATAAGAGAAAGAAGAGATGGTGAAAGAAAAATGCAAAGAACAAAATGGTAAGTGCTGAGAGAATATAAGTAAAGGTGATAGCTGAATTCTCAATGTTATACTATTCAATAAGGGAGCTCAAAAGTAATTTGTAAAATTTGACTTGTTTGAAAATCATAAAATTTAACATGAATGGTTTCAAGAAGTGAACTCAGGTAAGCTGACAATTTTAATTTTTTTCCTTCAGGTAGAATTTCATCACATTTAATAGAATTTAACTTTATGAGTATTTCACATTTTCCATAATTTAATGATAGTTCATAAAACTAAAAAAGATCAGATTAAAAAAATGTTTCCTAGTTTGGTGGTTACCAGGGGGAAGGGAGTTGGGGGGTGGGCACAAGGGGTGAAGGGGCGCATTTATATGGTAACTGACAAATAATAATGTACAACTGGAATCTCACAATGTCATAAACTATTATGACATCAATAAAAAAAAAACAAAATCTGTTCCCATCCCTGTCAGTTTTTTCCCCTAAATCCTCCAATCTTCTAGAAATTTTAACTGAATCAGAATAAAATTTTCATTTACCCTCGTTATTTAACTAGTACCCAGTAGTTATGTTACTAGACAAAGTATTGGCCACCAAGCTAAGAAGCAAGAGTATAAGGTTCCTAGTTTATGTATAAACCAGATAATTAGCCCTTAGATAATTCAGCATTGGCTGTAGACAATTGGCCTTTTTTGTCCTCTGACAACAGCCCATTGCTAATTTTTCAACAGCTGCAATGGATCAGTTTGGAAAAGAATGAGATCATTTGTTGAACACCCCTGCGCAAGTCATTTCACATATTTTATCTAATTTAATCCTCAAAATCATCTTATTACAAACGAAGAAACTGACATTCAGAGTAATGGAGCAGTTTGCCCAATATCACACAGCTAAAAAGTGACAAATTCTAATTGAGTCTGCCGGACTCTAGTATCTGCTCTGTCTTTTGTCCATGCCACCTTAAAAGCTGGGCCTTTGCTGTTGATTTGAAACACCTGGAGAGCTTTTGCTCCACTCCTGGAATACAGTAGGTGCTCAATAAGGCACAGCCTTACCACAGTGGAGGTCTAGGCTCCCCACTGGTGGGGGTGGCAGTGAGGCAACAGTTTTCTCTGTAGTGTTTGGCAAGAATATAACAGTTATTGTCTATGAGTTTCACACTTTATATAAAGATTAACTCAAAATGGATCACTATGTAAATATAGAATATAAAACTATGCAACTTTTACGAAAAAAAAATAGGAGAAAATCTTTGGGATTTAGGGCTGGCAAAGAGTTCTTAGCCTTAACACTAAAAACACAATCCATAAAAGGGAAAATTGATAAATTGGACTTCATCAAAATTGCCCATGTAAAGCATATGTCAATATAAGGTATAAACTAGGAGAAAATATTTGCAAACCACATATCTGACAAAGAACTAGTATCTAGAATATATTAAAACTCTCAAAACAATAAAACAATCAGAAAATGGGCAAAAGACATGAACAGACATTTAACTGAGGACAGTATACAGACAAATAAGCACATGAAATGATATGCAACATCCTTAGCCAGTAGGTAAGGGAAAATTAAAAACCATAATGAGATATCACTATACACCTATCAGAATGGCTAAAAATAGTGACAACATGAAATGCTGATGAGGATGAGAAGAAATGAGATCATTCATATATTGCTTATGAGAATATAAAATGGTTCAGATACTCTAGAAAACATTTGGCTGTTTAAAAAAAAAGAAAAAACAAACAACTAAACATGCAACAACCATACAACCCATCAATTGTACTCCTGGGCATTTTTCCAGAGAAGTTAAAACTTCTGTTTATAGCAGATTTATTCATAGTAGCCAAAAGCTGGAGACAACCCAGATGTCCTTCCACACCTTAATGGTTAAACAAACTGTGGTTGCCATGGATTACTACTCAGCAATAAAAAGGAATCGACTATTGATACATGCAGAAACATGGATGAATCTCCAGAGAATTATGCTGAGTGAAAAAAGCCAATCCCATAGGTTATATGATTCTATTTACGTAACATTCTTGAAATTAGAAAAATATAGAAATGAGGCACAGATTAGTGGTTGCCAGGGACCGAGGGCCGGAGGAAAGAGCGGTTGGTCATCAGAGGGCAGCATGAAGTATCCTTGTGGTAATGGAAGTGTTCTGTACCTTGAACATCTATCAATGTCAAAATTCTGGTTGTGACATTGTACTATAGATTTGCAAGATGTCACCATTGAGGGAGAAACTGAGTAACGGGCACTGGGTATTGTTTCTTACAACTACATGTTAATGTACAATTCTCAAAATCAAAGGTTAATTTTAAAAATCAGGAGACCGGACGACAATTAGAATTGAGCAAGATACCTCTTTTATTTTCTTACCTTTTCAGAGAAGAACGAAAGCCCTAAGGCAGCAGGTGCGACGGGATCAGGAATTTGCTCCACTTTGTACAGATTTAAGAAAAAATCTCACCCACGATTCTAGCATTTAGAAACCACAGCCAACATTCTGCTGTTCAGTCTTGCCTGTCTTGGAATTTTCTTGCTGTTACCCTTTCTCCCACATTAACCTTCCCAATCCTTCATTAAAATTCAAAATATTGATGCAAATACACACACTCAAAACAAGAAGTGACTTCTAAATAGCAGTTTGATACACTCTGCATTTTGGAAATGATCTCTCATACCTTTGAGTTCATGCTTTCCAAGAATTTCCGAAATTTCCACATCTTATTTGCACAGGAATAGAATTTCATTCTCTGTGGTTTTTGTGGATGACAAAGGCAGGTGTTCTGTATTCTAACCTGGGCCACAGGCTAAATAAGGGCATAACCGTAATCACTCCCACACAAGGGAGCTGGCAGAGTCTCCCTTCACGTTAGGAGAGACCATGTTGACTTTTCTCATTTTGAATGCCAGACAGCTCCTCAGAAACGAGTGGCCGTAAATCAGCTGCTTGCTCTGGGCTTGGTTTTGTTTTAATTGAAAAAACCAAATATCTTCATTAGGATCAGAGTCATGACATGTCAAACTCTTTAACAAAGCACATTCTGTTTCTATAAAAGTCCATTTTCCCTCATCCTCTAGAAGTTTAAAATCCTCTTTCTTGGAACAAACTCGGAATTCTAGCATCCCATGTGTGTGGACACTGCAGTACATCTGTCCTAGGTAGAGAATCCCCGCAAAAGACTGCTTCTGTGTCTGGCCATAAAACCACCCAGGCTCATCAGAATGAAAAAAGTGTGGTAAAGATATTTCTAATCATGCCATGCCATTGAAAGAAGTAAGAGCTCTCTTTCTCTTCAATGCTGTGTGTCTAGTCAATGAGACTTCTGATCAACACAAGGTTAAAGCATTCTCCTCACAAAGAGACAGGAATTACTGCCTCCCCAGCTGCTCCAGCTTTTCCAAGAATAGAACACCTCTGGGACCTGAACCCAGGTTTTCCTTTCAGGAGTTGACCTAGCTATCTTTGGATCTTCAGAACGAGCATGTATCCTGAATTCCAAACTTCCCTTGGCTGCTTGGAGATATTGAATCACTCCAGTTGTATATCACATTCTTTAGTGTGGGAGGTCCACAGCTTTCTAGGAATAAAGCAGCTTATACCCA